TTTTGTGCAGGTGTCAAGTATGGCAGCTGGGGATGGCCTCTGCCATTTTACGTTTATTCCTTCTGTTGAGAAAGGTTGTTATTTTTGTTTTATTCTCCTCTATCTGCCTATATAATGGCAACCTGATGAATAAACGAAATAAAAAGAAATTTTGAGAATTTTTCCATTCTCAAAAACTTCACCTTTGATATCATCCTAATTAATCAAATGGTATTTATGACCATCATCACCGTCACCCCGAAAGAAATTACACTGAATAGATTCCAATCTTTTTGCCACCTTCACGGGAATAGTAATTGTAGATAGATAGTAGATTAGTAGATTTGTCAAAATACTCTTAATTAAAGTATATCTCCCACATTTTGAAAGAAAACCTCTCTTCCAACCCGCTAATCTCTTTTCAAACATGTCGATAACCAGTTCCCAAGTAGATTGATCTTTGTACTTAGCACCCAACAGAACCGCAATATATTTGAATGGAAATTTTACTTCCTTACATTCCAAAATTTTTGCAAAAAGCCGCACATCACCATCACGACCAATTCTAGCTAATTCAAATTTATTGAGATTGATCTTGAGTCCAGAAACCACTTGAAAGCATAAAAGAACTCATCTCAAATGAAGAAGATTCTTCAGATCAGGGTTGTAAAATATTAAACATACTAGGCCTGATATAGATTGTTATAAGTACATTGAGCTTGTACATGCATGAACCCTGTTACCTAAATGCAGTTCATCAAATTCTCAAATATCTTAAATCTGCTCTCGGAAAAAGCTTACTCTTCAAGAAAGATACCCTAAATAAATAGTTTTACTGACGTAGATTGAGTTGGATCTCCTATGATAGAAGATTTACATTGGGTTAGTGCAAATTTATTGGAGATAATTTGGTAACTTCAGAGAGTAAAAAAAGTCAGTAGTGACCAGGGCTTGTGCACAGGCTAAATACATATCAATGGCATGGGGTATGTGTTAACTACTTCGGTTATAGAAATTACTGTATGGACTAAGGATGTTAGATAAAACAGGTCTACTGCATAGTCTTGTTCAGCATGACAAGCAAAATACATCAAGATTGATAAACATTTCATTAATGAAAATATTTTTTTAATAATAAAAATTATGTATATTTACAAAGCACCAAATAGGTGCAGCAAGTACTCCAACTTCAGGTCTTTTAAAATGATGTTTACCGAAAGTAGTTCAGACACACACCATGAACCATTGCCCGAAATTCTGCTTTTGCACTTAACTGTACTACCATATTCTATTTTTGCCTCCTTTATGTCACCAGATTATAGCAATGTTGGCCTCCTGTAAATGATTAATCCATCATAATAGGTATATGTATATGCCTCAAGAACTAAACTTCCATTTCTTTGGAGAGAATACCTTTTCCTGTTGTATCCTAAAGCCCTTTATTCTAATTACATACTTTATTTAACAGTTATAACCTATATATATATATATGTATATATGATATAATAGTGACAGGGGAGGATGATAAGGAGAGACAACAATTAAATCAGTGTTTGAGTAAGGAATTTAAGATCAAGACACTGGGACAGTTGAAATATTTTATTGGAATTGAGATAGTTCACTTTAAACAGAGCATTTTCATCTCTCAGCAAAATGATGTTACTGATCTTCTGCAAGAAGCAATCAAGACAGCATGCAAAGTAGTGAGAATTCCAATAGATTCAAATCTTAAATTGGGAAAGACAGAAGAAGATGCAGAAGTAGACACAGAAATGTAACGATGCTTGGTAAAGATTCACTTATCTATCTCCCATATGACTAGATATGACCTGTGTAGTGAGTATGATCAGTTGGTTTATGCTGGCCCTAGAGAAGTCCATTTACAGGCAGTTCATTAATGTCGTAGTATCTTAAAGATACACCACGTAAAGTATTCTCTTCAAAAGAAATGGAGGTTTAGTCATTGAGGCATATTCAGATGTTGATTATGATGGGTCAATCATTGATAGGAGGTTAACGTCCGAACATTGTAATTTTCTTGGTGGTATAAAAAAACAAAATTTTCTAGTATACTCAAGTGCAAAAGCAGAATTTCAGCAATGGCCCAAGATATGTGTAAACTACTATTGGTAAAGATCATTTTAGAAGATTTTTGAAGATTAAATGGGATGATCCGATGACACTCTATTGTGACAATAAGTCTGCTATCAATATAGCCTATAATTCAATTCAACATAATCAAACGAAGTACATTGAAATTGACAGACACTTCATCAAATAAAACTACCAAAGAATAACTCTATTGATTTGTACACGTTATATGCTTACACATGGCCAACTTGCTGATGCACTTGTCAAAAGATTTAAGTAGTCTAATGTTCCAGAGTATTATCGCCGAAGTAGGAATGAAAAGTACCTATTTACTAGCCTGAGGGGGAACGTGGAAAAGTAAACAATTTAGTTAATATACCTTTTTTCCTTTTTTGTAACAAATTATGTTCTAGAATCAGGCCTGTTTAATTAGGTATATATTATGGTAGAATATCTCATAAATTATGGGATTCTAAAACATATAAGTTTCCTTTTGTGTAGCTTGGATGACAATGTATATGTTTAACCTTATGTAATGACCTAGTTCTAGGATTTTGAAGGAGCAAAGAAACTATGTATTTTGCATCTTCTAATTGAGTATAGGAGTTTTATGTCAACTTACCACCCTTTCTCCATTTGCCACCAATACCTGGAGAGAGGGTGTTTGGACAAGTTGCAAATCACATCTCTTGGCTACTTTAATGCCGAAGGAATGGGTGGTACTACTTGTCAACTAGGGTTAAAACAAGCTTACAGTTAACAAATCCCCAAACCTTTATTCTACAGCCATGTTCCTATCCCTCCATGGCTTGCAATATGTCTTCATCTGCTTCAGGTCCCTCCTTTATTTCCTCCTTTTCATTTTCTTCCTTTTCCTTCTCAATAGTGGCTTCCATCATAATGAGTTGTTTAGGTCTAAATTGGTGCCCAGGGAAGTAAGGTTCCCCGCATCTTAACAAGGGTTATTCATTTATTTATTGTTAGCTATTGAAGTAACCTTGTTAGGAGGGATACTATTTTGTTTTTGGAGTTTGAGTGAGCTCAATTTTGGGTCATATTTTGTTTGTTAGGTTTGTTATATGCATGTTTGTGATGGAAGGCAGGTGTTTTGATGAGGCTTTTTTCGGCGCTTGAGCATAGCCTCAATATGTTGAGACTGTAACTAAGCTTGCTCGTAGGCCAAGTTAAAGGTTTGTCACGTGAAAAGCTTTATTATTGGCCTTGGTTCTTCACACACCCTGCTGATAAAGCTCGAAATTAAATAGGTTTCGTTGAGGTGAGGGTTGTCTCTCAGCATAATAGATATGACTCTTCGAACCTCTCCTAGTACTCCGTTTAAGCTTGTTAAATTCCTCCACAACATCAGCCACTGTCAGGTCTTTAAACCATCTATAATCTCCTTTTTGAATCTCCCCAACTCACTTCGCCAGACTAAGCATGTTAGCCTTGATCCCAAGTGTTTGATTATCCAGGTATAGACTGGCTATTCCTACCTTCTGTTCGTCTGGCATCGTGTAAACTTCGAAGTACTTGCCACACTCCCTTATTCTCGAGGATTCTCCTCATTAAAGGTGGGAATATTGGCCCTGGGTGTGTTATGGTTTATAGGGCCATATATGGATGTCGGAGTGTTGTTTTATGGAAACTTTGCATCCAATTTAGCTTCAAGCTTGGCCACTAATTTGGCATCAAAGATCTCATAAAACTCTTTCCTAAAATCTTGTATTAACCTTTCCATTCCATGCAAGGAATCCTCGATTTAATTCATTTCATGGGCATCAATCATAGCAGCCTTTTCCTTGTTCTTTAGCCAGTTTGACAGTGGGGAAAGCGGTCTCAGTAGGTTTAGCAGGTTCTAATGTCAATTTTTCAAGATATTGGTTCTTGAGGTAACTGTAGCCAATATCATAGTGAGGGCAAGGGAGAAGAGAGAAGGAGGTGAGGGGAGAAGACTTAGAGAGACTGAAAGATGAAAATAGAAAAGAGCAGAGAGAATGATAAAAAGAAAACTTTTCTAATAATTCTTCCCTGATGTTTTGAAAAAATTTGGTATTGTGTGGGTGTTGGCTCCTAGGGTGGAGAGTTTCCTCTTGTACCTTTTGAATGGGAATGGGCTTCGGAAGAATGCCAAACCCTTGTGGTAGGGGAGTCTTCTTTATTGGCTTGTGGTGTATTTGGCTTGCTCATAATTCAAGAATCTTCAGTAACAGAATTACCCATTTTTTGAGCTGTGGGATAGGGCAATCATTTCGGCATCATTTTAGGCTGAAGGGCAGGACTTTCTATCTCCTGTCGTCATCGAAATTGGGAGACCATTATTCATGATAGTTAGAATTTTTGTTTTGTTATTTCCTTTCAGCTGCTACTAATGGGCCTATTGTTTTCTGTTCTTTGTTTTTGTGCTCTCTCAGGGGATGTCTCATTTTCTTTTCTTGTAATTCCTTCTCTTGATCTTAATGAATCATTTTTTTATCGAAAACATAATTCTTCCCTTAGTTCTATTAGTTTCAGCCATACATATATAAAGATACTGCAGCTAATCATGGGTGATCAGTAACAGTAATATTTCCTATAGCTGTCACTTGTCTTTTCCAGTACAGTCGTAGAATTAGGAGGAAATAAATACATAAATAAAAGATTCCTAATGAAACCCTAACAGAAAACTAACATTCAATTTATTTCTTCTTCCCGCCATTCAGCTATTTCATGACATTTCGCAATTACTTAGCTTCTATGGCTACATGATGGTTGCCTGCATCACATTTATTTCTTTCTGCTTGTGTAAATTTTCTGGCGTTTGCATTTGGTAGAGTTGTGTCTGATATCATTTGTTGATATTAATCGTGGAATAAAGAATCTGGGTAAGAAATCAATTTATATTCTATTGAGTTCAGTCCTATAAACTATGCATGGTTTTGAATCTTTTGCAGGTTACCTCTATAATTACCAAACTAAGGAGTTTTATAATCTTAGTTACGCCCATGAACAACCGGAAGGTTCTGCAAGATTTGGAGGTTTGTTGACATCATACTTCGTTTCTCCCTTCATGATGTGCTTTTTCACTTGATGCCGTATTTTCTAATGCCACAACTTTATGTATAATTCTGATTTAGTTTCAGTTTCTTCTATTAAATTTAGAGATTGAGAATGATATTAATAACGAAGGTTAATTCTATTAAAGAGAAGAAAGTAATAAAAACAATGAGTTCTATAAGACTTTGTTATGCGGGAACAAAATTGCTTACACCAGATACTAGCAAGTATCCCAAGATCACTGCTTACTTTCAACAATTATGAGGGGTAAGTCGAGGGCTAGATTTTAGCTTTCTGGTCAGGCTCATAAAAATTGACGATTATTTAGTATATTTTGGTACGCTTAAAGGTAATATGACAGGAATCAATAGTCTGAAACATTTTATTGAGAAATTTGGGGAATTAATTTCCAAAAGATTTGGGGGTTAATTTTTAACAGATGTACTAATTAATTTCAGCTGATCTGGGAACTAATTCCAGCAGGTATGGGAATTAATTCGAGCAAATTTATTGACAGATTTTTTAAGAGATTTTTGGGCAAACTAATATAGGGATTCTGTAGACATTATAGACTATAAAATAGTGTAATTAATTGTTAATTTCTGCGGGAGAATAGAATTTTATGTTTATTATTAAATGAAAATGTCCTATGTATATACAACTCTTAAAAAATGAAACCTTGATAATAAATTACATGTGGGTATTTACCTCTTACCCTTTACATACTAATTTACATAACACACTTCCAACACTCTCGCTTAAGCTGGTGAATAGACATTTTCTACTCCCAATTTGGCAATAAGCGTCTGAAAAGCTGGGTTATTAAGATCTTTGGTGAGTGCATCCGCAAGTCGCGAGTTAGTAGGTATGTAAAGTATGCAAATCAAGCCCATTATCTAGTTTTTCCTTGATAAAATGTCTTTCAACTTCAATATGTTCCGTACAGTCATGTTGTACTGGATTGTGAATAATGTTGATTGCTGATTTGTTGTCGCAATAGAATCTCATTGGGTCGTCTCACTTAATCTTCAAGTCTTTTAAAACCATTTTTTGTTGTAACAACTTATAAACTCCTTGACCCATTGTTCGGCTGCACTAGATTGTGCTATTATATTTTGTTTTTTACTTCTCCATATGAATTCCCTTGAAGGAATGTGATATAACTTGTATTAGATCTTTTATTCACTACTAATCGAGTATAGTCTTCATCAATATAAGCTTACAGTAGTAATTTGGTGTTCTTTTTAAATATGATACTTTTTCCTAATGTTCCCTTCTGATACTGCCTAGAAGTGCACTTTTTTAGGATTGTGTATAAGTCTGCATCTCTTTGCTAATGGCTGCCTCTTCCTCTATTAGTATCAACTTATGATGTGGGATCAATTGGTGTGCTAGCATGTTTGCATACGTGTTTACCTCTATCTTTCAAGAGGTCATTTATATACTTCTATTGAGTGATGGAGATCCCTTGTTTTGAGTGAACCACTCCAATACTAAGTAAATATTTTAGTTTGTCTAATTCTTTAATTTCAAATTACTTAATTTATGTACTAATCTCTCATGTTCATCACTATTAGTCACTACAATGCCATCGATATATACTAGGAGGATTGTAGCTCTACCTGAATCTGAATGCTTGATGAATAAAGTGTTATTTCTTTGATGTTGTTTGTACACCACTGCCAGTGTTACCTTTGAAAATCTTTCAGAATATGTTCTTGATGACTGTTTGAGTTCATCTAATGTTTTTTTTAAGTCTGCAAACTTTATTGGCTGCTATATTCTTGGTGGATTCCAATGGAATCTCCATATAAATTTTCTCATCTAGGTCTCACATAGGAGTGCATTCTTTACACCAAACTATTACAGTTGCCAATAATAGTACATGGTCTTGGCAATAAGTGCAAAATTCTCTTGACAATCAATTCTGTATGCCAAGGTGTAACCCTCAGCCACCAACCTGATTTTGTATATTTCTATTTTGCCATCAGCTTTGTACTTGATGGTGAACACCCATTTGCATCTAACAAATGTTTTTCCTTTAGGTTTGGTCCACCATCTCCTAAATTTGGTTTTTCTCTAATTCCTGCATTTGAACGTTGATAACATTTTTATATTTTTCACATAACAATGTCTCATATAATAATATCTCCTACAGTTCAGAGCCATTTCTGAGACAAGTAGACAGTTCCTCGAAGCGAAGTTTACTGATACTGAGGTGTTGGACAGCCTTAAATTGTGTAATGGTGACAAAGCACCGGGTCCGGATGAGTTTAACATGAAGTTCTTAGAAGACTTTTGGCATTTAATCAAGGAAAAGGTTATGGGATTGTTTAGGGACTTGCATGACTCTGATAAATTTGTGAGGTCCCTCAATACTATATTTCTAGTGCTAATAGCTAAAAAAAGAGGAGTTAAGGATACGAAAAATTTCAAACCCTTCAGTCTTTTAGAATGCATATACAAGTTAATTGCAAAAGTTCTGTCTAATAGACCATCCAAGGTTTTAGGTAAAATTATTGGGGAATGTCAACATACACTTGTGGGTGGAAAACAGATTTTGAACGCGGTCATGGCTGGAAATGAAGTGGTAGATGAATTATATCAGACAAAAAAGAAGGGTTCATATGTAAGTTAGACATTGAGAAGGCTTACGATTATGTCAATTGGAACTTTCTTGCATACATGATGAGAAGAATGGGTTTTGGACAAAAATGGATTAATTAGATGAACAGTTTTATCACTACCATCTATTTTTGGTATTAGTTAATGGCGGATCATCCAATTTCTTTTCTGCTTCACGCAGAATGTGCCAAGGTGAACCCCTTTTTCCGTTATTCTTTTTAACTGTAATGAAGGCGTTAAATGCTTTGATATGCAAGGCTATTGATCTGAACTTTCTGAAAGGTATAACTATTGGGAAGGATTTTAGAGCTATTCAGGTGTCCCATTTCTTCTTTGCCGATAATACCTTGATTTTTTGTCTATCTGAGGTTAGAAATCTCTTGCACTTGAGATGTGTTTTGATGTGTTTTCAATTGGTTTCTGGCATTAAAATTAACTTAAAGAAGACAGAATTGGTAAGGTTTGGCAACACAAGTAACGAGAACCACCTTGCTAGCATTATGGGGTGCAAAACAGCCAAGCTACCTATCATTTATTTGGGCATCCCCTTGGGCTCCAAATATAAAGATTCTTGTACGTGGGAACTGGTGATTGATTCCATTGAGAGCCAATTTGCTGGATGGAAAAGAAAATTTCTATCACTCTTCTTAAAAGCACACTCACCATCCTACCCATTTATTATCTATCTGCTCTTACCATGCCCGTGAAGGTTGCAAAGAGAATAGAATTCATTCAATGTCGTTTTCTTTGGGAGGAATGACAATGATAAGAGGAGATTTCACTTAGTCAAATGGGAAGAGATGAAGAAGCCGATTTATAAAGGTGGGCGGGAATTAAGTCTCTTTTTGAGATGAATGTGGCTCTTTAAGGGAAATGGTTGCAGCGATATTCTGTAGAAGATGATGGGCTTTGGAGGAAAATAATTGCTGCTAGGTGGGGGATTGTTAATGGTGAGCTCATTTTCAATAAAATAATCCGACTGCATGAATATGGTTTATAGAGAAAAATTATGATGGGTTGGGCAAGATTCAAAGATTGTATTCAGTGGCGTGAATGTATGTGAGCAAACGCAACACAACCAAATAATTTAGGGACAATATAGTTTCTGGCACTGAACTCCGAATAAAATATGGAAATAACTTTCATAGGCCTTTTAAAGTCCAAGACCCTAGATGGTAATGAGTTAATAAGGTAGGTGGCAGTAAGGAGTGTTTCTCCTCAAAATTGTTTAGATACATTATTTTGGGATAGGAAGCCTGAGTAGTACCAAGTAAGTGCCTATTTTGATTTGGGAGGATCATTTAAGTGTCACTAATTTTCAGGATCATGAAATTCCAAAGGCAGACTGCGACCATGGAGTCTTTTTCTTCCCGAAAGTCAAAGATATCTTGGTTGTGGTCCTGATCTTTGATTTTTCTTATGTTTCTTAGGATAGTATGAATCAATTGTAACTACTTCAGATGGTAAGTCAACCTTTCAGGGTGGTTGTCAATGGCTTGAGATGTGATTTCAAATATTGCTACAAACTTTTTGGGACAAACTTAGTAAAAAAGGACTCTTGCAATGAAGGTCGGATGTTGCAGTAACCAAGCTATGAAGGATGGCTTTAGAGAGCAGGCTGCATGTAGAGGTAGGAGCTGCTAGTGCACGGCTGGATTAGAGGCGCAAGATTGGAGCAGACGCGCGTTGCTGGTGCTGGAGTAGAGGTGCGTGGCTGGTGCAGCAGCGGCTGGACAGAGACACATGACCAGTGCAGTGGCTCGGCAAGAGTTGCGGCATGCAGCAGTGGGCCGTGCACTGGGCTGTTTTCTACTATGAAAGCCAGTGGCCGTTGTGATGGTGGTCGGCTATGAAGGCTAATCATATTTAATGTTTTTCTATTCTTTGTTTTGGCTTTAAGGGCCGATTAGGATTTGAAGAAAGCTATGGTATTTCTTCCTATACCTGTAATACCATGTGAAAAAATAAAATATTATGTTTATTGAATGAAAATGTCCTATATATACGCATTAAGCATAAATTACATCTAGGTACTTTACCCGTATACCTATACATACTAATTTACGTATGTATACATTTCCAACATTTTTCATATTTTTTTTATATGTCCATTGAATTCAAATTTTACTAAATTCAACGTGCTATCAGAGCATTGATCACTCTAGAAAGAAAAATAAAGAACCTCTTAACTTCCAGTAACCACCATCATAGTCACACACAAAAAGAAAAAAAACCTCACAACATTACTTCTGAGTCCTGTCCCTATTGCAACATCCTCCATGATAAATGAATGTTTAAACAATCAATTTGAAGCAAAGATAATTATCTTTTACTCTGATAATAAAAAAAATATTATAATGAATATTTCAGAAATTTTTCTTAAGAAAAAAATAATTTGCATCAATCTAATTATCGAGATAATATAAAGAAAATCATGTTACTGAATGAAAAAATAAACATTTATTGAGAGTAGCAAGTTCAATGGTTTCTATGCATATTCCCAAAATAATTTTGGGAAAATGAGTTTTTCTATAGCATTGTTACTTGATGAAGGATGCCTACCAAGATTTTTGAATTTTACAATATCTCTAGGATGTTATAAAAATATTTTCCCACCCTCTAAAGTGCATGCAAATTTATCTCTAAAAATATGTGGTTGTGTTGTATTTGTTCATATTCCTAGTCAATTAGGTTCAAAACTTGACTTTAGGGCTTATGGATTGTAAGGATGATAAAGAATAGGGCATTGCTAATGTGACGATTCTCGGAAGAGGAGATTCTGGAGCATTATATGGATTACAAGATTGATAAAGCCTCGCAGCCAGATATTTCAACATTAGTTTTTTTCAAAGCAATTAGAAGACCACAAAAGGAGATTTGATTGACTTATTTTATGAGTTTCATAGTTCGGCCTCCTTTGCTAAGAGTCTAATTCCACTTTCTTGGTATTAATCCCTAAAATAGAATAGAAAGTGCATCAAACGTTAAGGATTTTTTACCGATATGTTTGGTGAGCAAGGTGTATAAGATCATAGCAAAAGTCTTGGCTGAGTGCATGTCTAAAGTCCTGAGAAAAGTGGTGAAGTAGTGTTAGTACAATTTTGTGGTAGGAAGACAAATTCTAGATGTAGGTTTAATTGTTAATGAAGTTGTTGATGGCCTTTTGAAAGACAGGAAAAGAGGCGTTTTATGCAAGCTGGATATAAAAAAGGCATATGACGACGTAGATCGGAGGTTTTCTATTCTATATGCTCGATAGACATAGGTCTGAAAAATAGGACAGGTGGATGAAAACATATGTTTCTTCTGCATTGTTTGCAACCTGGATGAGAGGAGGGCTCTTCTTACTTTAAAGCATTCTGGGGTTTGAGATGGCAAGATCCTCTCTCTCCATTGTTGTTCCTAATGGTTATGGAGGCCTTCAATAAACTCTTATCCGGAGTTAAGAGGTTGACTTGTCTAGAGGTCTCTATGTTGCGGAGCGTGAGAAGAGGGTGGGAATGACTCATTTGTTCTTCGAATATGATGCATTATTGTCTTGTGAATAAGATAACACCTGCGCAACATTAGATGTGTATTGTTATGTTTTAAGGTTGTGCTGAGTCTAAAAATCAACATGTCGAAATCTGAGCTTGTTGTGAAGGGGTGAACAATGAGATTGAGATAAAATTGGAATCCTGGGATGCGAGCAAGTGAATTTACCTATTAAATACTAGAATTATCGTTGGGAGCTAAGTTAAGGAGATCTCTACGTGTGAACAGGTGATCAACAAGTTCGAGTCTAGATTAGTTGCTCTTGAAAGACAGTACACATTAAAAACACGTTAGCTAGCATTCCCATATACATGATTTCTTTGGCAATAATGCGTGCCAGAGTGACAAAAAGTTTGAAAAGAAATCCAATGTAACTTTGTATGGAGAGATATAGTAGATCATAAGAAATATCATTTTGTGGCCTTGGAAAAGTGAAACAACTACTTCGAAGGGGTGGTTTAGGTTTGAGATCCTTGACAGACTTGAACAGGGCACTTCAAGGAAAGTGACTTTAGAGATTTATGATGGAGCAGGAGAGTCTTTGGAGAAGAATCATTGAGGCCAGACATCAGGTGGATGGATATGGGTGGTTCTCCAGCATTCCCATGGATCCATTTGGGGTGGGTTTGTTGAAAAGAATTGTGGGGAGAAGGAAGACCTTTGTAAATATATTAAGTAGACTGTAGGGTCGGGGGGTGGAGTGAGTTTCTAGAGAGATGACTAGTGGGAAAAGGATGTGTGCCATCAAATTCCAAACATTTATGCAGTTACAGTTGATAAGGATCCCATGGTAAAGAATTATATAATAGGCCAAGGCATTAATGAGGACTAGTGGATAGGGTTGAAGTGAAACTTAAATGATTGAGAGATCCTAGAGTATATGAACCTTTTAGAGGCAATATCATCATTCAAGAGGGGTCAGTCTATGGGTGATAAGCTATGTGGGAAGTTAAACACTTCAGGCGTTTTTTCAGTGAAATCCTATTATAAGTACCATTATTGGGGTGGGCCAGAGGAGGTGAATACTCTTGTTAGGCTGATTTTGAAAGTTAATGCAACTTAAAGGATTGCTTTCTTCACGTAGGATATTGTCTAGGGGTGCATTTTTACTCTAGATAACCTCGTCAAGAGGTGGAAAATTCTTGCAAGCATATCCTTTTGTGGTGTCCTTTTGTCCATTGTCTTTGGTGCTTAGCTCATAGCTCATTGGGTGTAGACTGGATCATAACCGATTCTGTGAAGGAGGAGATATGGGCTTGGAGTGGTATACACGAGGATAAGCCATTGAGACTCATCCAATTAGTTGTCATTTAGGTGATTTTGGAAAGAGAAAAGTAGAAGGATTTTTTAGGGCATTAATTCTAATTTTGACACTCCAAAAGATTAGTGATTCCATATACTGAATTTTTTGTTAAGGAGTCATCAGCTGTATTCCAGTGAGAATATTGGGGATTTCATAGATATTTTGATGTTGTTAGTGGAGGTAATAGTCCTTTAATTCCTTCTAGAAGCCAAGCTGTGTTAGGAGAATCTTTATTAGTTAATAGTCCTTTAGTTCCTTCTAGAACCCAAGATATGTTAGGAGAATCTTTATTAGGTAATCAATAGCTATACAGTTGCTTGCATGGGAGATTAGGTCATCCATCTTTTTTGTTCTAAAGGCGATTTATCCTAATATGTTTAAAAAATTGCAATTCAGAGTCATTAGTTTGGTGAATTTGCATAACACACAAGAACTTCTTATGCTAATAAAAGTTCTCATTTATTGACTATAAAGTCTTATGACTTCCAACTCAAATTTTGTGATTGTTTGGTTACAGATAGTTTGCACTTTTTATAACCTGTTGCACTAGAATGACTTAAGTTTACCTTTTATGTGCACAAAATAAATTTTTTCTTGCTTTAAATCATTTACAAAATGGCTTATACATAACTCAATGTGGGAAATCAAATTTTTCCACACTTATAGCTGCACAAAATACATTGATGGTATCCTCCATGACTATCTTAACCTCCATGAGATAGTGTACCAAAGTAGCTAACACTGGTGCTCAAAATGGGATTGCTGAGATAAAGAGGGGACACTTAAAGTTGCCTGGGCATTGATGTTTGCCGTGAATGTCCCAAAACCCTACCAAGGAGATGCAGTTTTGTTGGGGATCTATCTAATCAATCAAATGCCTCTGGAAACATTAAGGTTTCAAAAGTCCCTTGGAAATTTTAGGAGGCATTATGTTCTTTCTAATGTGTTTGGCTGTTTTTGTTTTTCCATAAAAGGAGTGTAGGAAAGTTATCCTGGACTCTCAAATGTGTTTTTTTAATTCAGTGCTCTAAAATGTAGAAGCGGTCAACTGTTACTATCTTGCCTTATCTTTGAAGAATTCAACCCATATTTTCCTTTGCTCCAACTAAGAGGGAGACTAGAGAAGAAGAGGAGGTAACTTTTCTCCCTCAACCTCCAAACTCATTTCTACACATAGTGCCGAAGTCTCTAGTGATAAGGGTGAAAACCTGGAGAGTCTTGATTGTTGCAGACTAGATAAGACTGATCTAGAAACTTCTCCGCAAACCCAAGCTTTTAAGATTACTATATGAAGCTTCCTTTCTTTTTCATGCTTAGTATATGCATAATTACTATTAATGGCAGTGGATGAAA